TCTCCCTCCCCCCGTGTGTGCCTAGCCAATAAAACATTCAAAATATTTCTGCTTGTTTGCCAGCCTTGGTGCCTGCCTGTGTGTGTGTGTGTTGTTTTACTTTGGTTTTCACGATTGGGGCCTTGAGTTTGGGGCGCCTACTTCTTGCTATGCTCGGGACTGGCTCGCCAGGGTGTCCTCACCTCGACTGCGCCAACACACTATTACTAATAAGTCTGACAGAGAATCCACAAAACATCGGACGGAGCTTTCAAGTCGCGCGAGCCCGACTCTTCTAAGCCCTGTACCCAACATTTTTCTCCACAACTCAAATAAACTTTGAAAAATGTAACAGGCAGACGCCAAAAAGTATATATATACTTGATCAGCATGACAAGATAAATCGATCTAGCCCCCTCTGCCGGTCTGCCCATCTGTATGAACAAATCAAATTTCCGAATACTTGCAGTGGATGTTATATATTCGAATGCCAAGTTTCATGATGATATGTCAATTTAAATAGAAGTTAAAACCAAAAATGGAATCGGTGTCCAATATCTGCCCCCAGTTGTTGTTGTTGCTGCTTTGACATAACTCTATACTGCAGACACGTTCACAGAGTATTTCAAAGTCGGCACAACCGATCTTAGGTTTTCCACTTCTTTTTATTTTCAAGTATAAAAGAAAGTTTTCGTTTGAAAAAAAAAAAATTTCAATAAACATCGCCCCAAAAATTGTATATATAGTACGAGTATATAGATTATTAGAATTCTATAATTACTGAATTCAGTTTATTGTTGATTTTATAATTTACAAACTATATTTTCGTGTTTTATTTTAATATTTGCAGACAATGAAGTTATTCTTTCAATACCTGTTGTTGATGGTGGTGTTCAGTAAAATACCCCATTTTTATGACCATCAGCATAGGCCCCTTACTGGAGCTTCAAAAGATTTGGCCACTACTGGCGACCATGATGAGAAAGAAAAAGATCCCAATGGCGACCATTATGAAAAAGGAAAAGAAAAAAATCTCAACATAGTGCCTCAGCATACCACAACCAAACCGCATGATGGAGCTTCAAAAGATTTGGCCACTACTGGCGACCATTATGAAAAAGGAAAAGATCCCAACATTCAGCCTACCACAACAAATCCGCCTAATGGGGGCTCAACAAATTTCTCAAGAGCTGTTGAACATGAGGAAAAAGCAAACGCCACGACCAACGTATCGAATTTAGAAACGGCTTTTATACCGTTAATAGTTATTTTAGCACTCGCTGTCCGTTTTATCTGCCTGCGAAAACATCCCTCCTGTTGTCCGTATGCACCTCTAGCCCAAAGACCACAACACGAAGAAATCGCACTAAATATCGTTTAAAATACTTACAAATAAAATAAATAAAATACATCATATTTCTGATTTTAAATTATTTAACTAAATATCTCATACACATGCAAAATGAAAAAAGAAGAAGCTTTTTGTGAGATTTTAAAGGTACCAATCGACCAGCTACTTATGAAAAAGAAAATGGCGCCTATTATTTCCTTACTTTTGTGCGTGACAGTCGAATTATTTAAAACCAATTAATAAAAGTTAATAATGGAAAATAAAAGCCCAAAGTATGTAGTTTCTACTGTATATAGTACTTTTATGTGTAGTCCAAGGCTTTGACTTATGTGTAATGTCCAATATATATGGTTGTTCGTAGAAAATTAACATACGTCCCCTGTGTTTTTTTTTTTTTTGGGTATAAAAAACGAACTGACACCTGCTGACAAAAAGTAAGTTCGACAGCTTGTACTTATGAATGTTGTTCTTCATCTCAAAAAATTTCGAAAAAATCGTATTTATTGCCGCAAAACTCGTGTTTTGGCATGCAGAAATTGTTGGCATTCGGGGCAGCAACAGATCCTCAGAAGACGCATTTAAGCAGTATACAAGTATATTGCAGAAAATTTAAGTAAAAATCGTAAATGAACATAATATTATGTTGATATCGGAAAAAGTATACGCCTACGCCAGTTATATTAAAAATCACATGCCAAGTTGTAATCGAACTCTAGAGAAATTTAATAAAAACACTCGAATTGGCATGCTTCTAACATGATGGAAATTTTGAGTCTTGATTGAAAACGGTACTGTCGAGCAAGCCCGACAGTGAAATACCCTATACCCAGACAAACTCCTGGCATTGAGTTATATGCGCGCAAAGCAGAAGCAAAAAAAAGAAGGCGAGCGTAGCTGAAGCTGCAGTTTGAGGGCGTAGTACTGGATTGAAATTGTTTCGCTAATAACTTTTCTTAGAATTAACCGATTTGGGTGAAATTAAAGTAAAGTAAATAATTGTATATTGATTGCCCCCAGAAGTAGGACCACAAGTTATAAGTTATCCAAGTCGTTGTCTGCCACCATTTAAAAGAAAGAGATTTCTGCATCTTCTGGTCGGGATCAAAATGTTTTGCGCCACCAACTGTACAAGAATATAATACATAAAATCTTACCCACATAAAATATAATACTATACTATAGTAGTTAGAGCAGAAAGACCACTTCGTGTGAGTCTGGACCACGGCTGGTTTCAAAAATTGTTGAACGCCCATGCGACAAAAATGTTTCCACTCTGGCAGAGCAGTGTCTGTGTGTGTCTTTATACCATATATATAATTTTGCCCATTTCGTATATAAAGTTCTTTCGCTTCGGTCCTGTTTGTTTGCTTGCAAAAGTTTTGCCCGGCAATTGCAAATTTGTAAGGCAATGCAAAGAATGCAGCTTGCACAGTGGTCAACAATGCGTTGGCAATGCCTCCACAATGAATGGGGCTTTATAATTGTATCAGCTCCATGATTAATTGGCTCTTTGCCTGCAAACTCATAGAATTTCAACCAGCACTTTTGCTATACTAACAAACTTTCAATAATGAAAACAGTTTTAAACGTATCAAACTGTTTTAATACGACCTAATCTAAGTCAATTTATTAATATTATAAAATACAAAAAAAAAATAAGTACATAGGTTTTTTTTTTTAAGTGCGTCAATTGCTTTTTATAGTATGTACATGAAATGTATAAGATTATATTAAAAACCCCATAAAGTAATACGTGTATATTCTTAATCAGCATGATAAGAAAAGTCGGTCTAGCTTTCTGTTTGTCAATCAACTATATCTTGAAGACTATAAGAGCTAGATACACGAAATTTGATTCCAAGATGCATTATATGCCTACGCAGAAAATGTGTATTTCAGAGTTTTTCTCCTTCCCCCACTGTCCCGTTATGTGATTTTCCATAACTCACTCTTGGAATTTTTCTATCAATTTGACAAATACTTCCAGTTAGTGATTCTGTATCAGTATGTCAAGTTTCATCTCGATAGGTCATTTTTAAAGGAAGTTATAGCCTTAAGTGTAATCTCTGTCCGCAGTTGTTGTTGTTGCTGCTTTGCCTCAACTCTGTACTGCGGACATACTTACACACAGACAGATAAAATCGATCAACAATTTTTAAATTTTATTATTACTACAGAGAATTTTAGAGTCAAGAAACCCGACATTAGCGTTTTCACTTATTTCTAGCCACTGTCACGGGCCAAGTTTCCTGCTGAAAGATTAGCAGAGCGCAACTTGCTTCCCAGCTATATATGTATGTACACAATATATGTATGTAAAGTACACGTACATATATATGTGTGTGTGTTTTCGTCTCCATTTCCTCGTCCATGTGAGTTTGTGTGTGTCTTGATGTTGATGCGCATGTTTGGGAACGCGGTAAACCAAATTATGTGCTTAGAAGTTGCCGCTGCGGTCGCCAAACGGCCACCTACAGCCCGAGCCAGAAACTGATTCCAACTACCTGCCCACTCCAACCCATCCACAAAAGTGTATTTGAGTTTCTGTTGCTGCCATTCCACAGATTCCGTGCCAAATAGAACTGTGCGTGTTCAGTTCTTAATCATACATATGTATGTATCTTTCCGCTCCAATCTGACTAAGTAGTTCAAATAATTTGTGATGATCTAAAAAATGCAAGTAACAATTATCTTAATAAAATCGTGTTTGTAAGATTGTAACAATATGACTTCGGGACAAATGCTATTCCGTAGCTGATCACCAGAAGCTGATTTTGTTTATTTTGCGATATAAGCATTATACTGGTTCCTCAGTTGAGGGTTGAATTTTTCATACCATCATCAATGAATCAGGCTAAAGGAAATTTTCCCATTAGGAATACATTGTATAAATAAAAAAAAACCATTGCTGCTTTAAACATAAAACTAATGAACTAGTTTAAGCCAAGCCGGCACAACTTCGACGTAAAGGAATAAAACTGCCCCAACCTCCGCCCCATCACAAGTAGCACTTTTGTAAGTTTGGTTGCTGCATTTGTTCTTGTTCTTTAGACAGGTGCTTATGTGGAAGTTTCTGTGGCAAGGTGATTAAAAACTTTGCATCTGAAATTCGACAACGATTGTTCTTTGAAGGAGCAGCAGCAGCTGATATTCCTTTCAGTCTCAATATTTACAATAATCATTCTACAGCAATGGGTTTCAGTGATACTTCAGGTACGAGAACAATTTTTAAAACACACTCTCGCAGCCGCTCTGTAGATATTAATGGAGACATCTATAACGACATTATCCGCGAGCTGGACGATGAATTGGAGTATCTGAGGCTGGAGGAAACTGAAGCGTGCGAGCGCAAGAGGGAGGATGCAGAACGCAAGCGGGAAAGAGAAATGCAAAACAGAGTTTTCCAATATCAGAAGGCTGCGGCCAAACGTAGGTTCGAGGCCGTATTGAGTGAACCACAACGAGTGCCCACCCCAGTGGATCCAATAAATGGACGACAGGAACTTATGGTAGCCTATCCGAAGCGCTCTACATCAGCTGTGGAGCGTCTCTACAAGGACTGGAAACCAGAGGGACCGTGGAATTTCCAAGATTTGGCTGTCTACCTATAAACGTTCGAGTAACTCGATCTATTAAGTAGAGCGGAGGCAGCATACACAGATGTACACAATTTTGTTACATTCATTCGTTTATTCCCGTCAACACTATGTCATCAACAACATAAAGCGAATAGTAAAATTATATCTTGTTGGACGTTAGCAAAAATAGCAAAAAAAAATTATATCAAATGCATTTTCCATTTTCATTCTCATTCATTCAGCGGTAAGGGCAGACGGGCTTTTCTGGGCCAAGGCGAAAGATCTGAGAGTACAAAATCAAGTTAATATACAACACGGTGCAGATGGTGATGTATATGGCCGAAAGATATCATTTCTTCTTGGCATCCTTCAGGCCGGCGCCGGCATTGAATTTAAAGAAAATAATGTCGCCATCTTCGACGGTATAGTTGCGTCCCTGTTGTCTATATTTGCCGGCAGCCTTAGCAGCTGCCTCGGAGCCCTCAGCCTTGAAGTCGTCAAAATGCATGACCTCGGCCATAATGAAACCCTTTTCGAAATCGGTGTGAATGCGACCAGCGGCCTGTGGAGCTTTGGTGCCCTTCTGCACGGTCCAGGCTTTGACTTCGTCGGGACCGGCAGTGAAGAAATATTCCAGTTGGAGCGCCTTGTAGCCAGTAATAATGATCTTATCGAGTTGGCTCTTGCATTTGGTCTCCTCCTCGTAAGCTTTGCGCTCCAAGGGATCCTTTTCGGCCAGCTCGTGCTCAAAGGCGCCAGAAAAGGGTATGAGTAGAGCGCCAGGATCGTTCTTATCGATCCACTCCTTAATTTTTGGCAACCACTTGTTCTTTTTGCGTATGAAGTCCTTGTCAGACAAATTTACGAGATAGATTACCGGTTTCGAGGTGAGGAACAAGTATTTGTTCAGAGCCTCGATCTGTGCAAAAGAGAAAGGCAGAGTTAAAGCGAAATGCATAGACATTTGCCTATCGCCCATCACTCACATCATGTGCGCTCCAGTCTGCGAAACGCAAATGCTTCTTCTGATCGACCAAAATATTTTTGATCTTTACCATAGCATCGTATTCTGGCTTCAGCTTTTTATCGCCGCCGCGCGCCACTACCTTTTCAAGTTTGTCTAAATTCTGATGTAACTTCTCCTCGTCTTTGAGGCGCAACTCCTCCGAAATGATCTCCAAATCACGCACTGGATCAACCTCACCCTCGACATGTGTTACGTCGGGATCCTCGAAGGCGCGACACAAATGGAATATCGCATCGCATGCATTGATGTGCGAGAGGAAGGCGTTGCCCAGGCCCTGACCTTCGGCGGCGCCCTTAACCAGACCAGCAATGTCGACCACATTAAGGTAGGCAGGCACTGAACTATAATGAACGAATAAACTATTTTAATATTTATGCTGGGAATACGGGATGTATAATGATAATTATGAAAAGCGCACAAATTGGATATAAGGTAAATTTTTAGATAAAGGCAAATTTTAATCACCTTAGTAGAATACCAATTAAATTTCAGTTAGATTGGCCCTCAGGAATAGCATATTCCTACTCCTAAATACCATTTCAATGTGTTTTGAAATAGCATCTACTTACAGATTCAATAAGCCTACTAATTAGCCTTTTTTGGCCACTCTTTCGCTAAGCTACTTGCTTAAGAACTTTTAAGCAGATCTTGTGTGTAATAAAATAAGTCTTAGCTGGGAATTTCCAGTTTTGAAGGACCTAACGAATGTAAGGATAGTTTCTAGAAAATACAACAGCATACTCTTGTTTTCGTGTGACTTTGAATTTAATATACAAAACATAAATATTCTTTTAAAGGACAAATTTATTTGGAATGTCTAGCTTCAATTATTAATACTTTAACTATTAATACCAAACTGCATTTGAATAATCTCAACAAAGCAACAAATAATCAAAATACATACAACTTGGTTGAGAATTTGAGCATATTTGAGGAGAATACTTTATATATTAATCATTATCTTAAACTACAAATACTAATTCTACCCAAAGTGCAGGATAGTCTTTAGTACATTTTAAAAGTGTTATTGACTTTGTTTTAGCTTTTATGTAGACGGACAGACATGCTGTTTATATGTGAAATACAACGCTTTCGTTATAATATACACGACTGCGGACAAAAGATGAAATAAACTTTTACAAAAAATGTTTTGCTCTTACCTGGCTGGCTTGTGGAAATCGACTAGGAAATCGAAACGCTCATCAGGCACGGGAACGCGACGTGTAGGTAGGGCAATAGGTTTGAAACGAGAAAGATATATGTAAAGCATGTTAGTTGATATTGCATTTTAGATACTCTTAACTATTACTACTACTACTGCTGGATGCTAACAAGCCCATTAAAAGGCGTGCACTGCCAGCTGCCTCTGCCACCACAGCTTGCGAAGCCTTGAGAAGCGAAGAGAGACGCTTCGGTATGCTCCGCTTGCGTCTGCGGCTCGGCTCAGAGCGACAATCATTGCAATTTTCTATAATTTTGTGCAATCATAAGACGAAATGCGCCGCAAGTCAGAACGTTCGCCATATGCTCCTTCAGTTCTTGTTGTTGTTGGAGCAGGAGCAGCAGCAGCAGCAGCCACCAACCAAAATGAAGTCGCTCAAATTAAGCGGCAATGCAATTTGCATATGAAATGGGCACAAAGGCGGAGGCTGCATTGAATGGCTGATCGGAACGGTCGATGAAGCTGATGGAGCTGTTGGAGCGACTCCAGCAGGCGGCAAATTGCGGACACGCCCTCTCCAAGGCAGCAGCCAACTCGCAGTTTATGTTGTTGTTGCTGCTGCTTTCCGTTTTTCAAAATAGTTTTAGAAGCGCTGAGAGGCAATGGAACGACGATTTTCCAGCAAGCAACAGCAAAAGCAACCACTGCAACAATAATAACTTTAAATAAAAAAAAAGAGAGTAATAATTTGAAATTAGAAGCGGCTGACGCTGAGGGCTACAGCACAAAATATTCAAATACAAAATTACAATGATTAAGAGTGCGCACAAAATTGCTGTCATGGCTCCGGCTGCAGCATAGTCTGCGGCACTGGTTGAGGCTCAAGCTCAGGAAGCTGCTGGAGGCGCGGCAATTACACACACACACACACATATATATATATATATATGTATATACACAAACGCTCACGATAATTGGTCAATACTTATTCTCATTGGGATCAATGGTGCAGAAGGGGAAGTTCTCAGCTGGGGCTGCACTCTTGGTCAACACATTGAAGAACGTTGACTTGCCCACATTGGGCACACCAACAATTCCGATGCGCAGATTTGTGCCAATGCGCCCGATTAGCGGTTTGCGCTCGGGCTCCTCATGCTTCTTAGGTGGCATCTTTGCTGGCTTTGCTTAAAGTTGGATGGCTGCAAATATACAATCATTACTAGATATATATCTAGATATAGAATGTCTTATTAGGCGGCGCTCTTGACTATTTTTGGTCATCAAAAATAGATGGTGCCCGACTGCACACATAACCTCAATGTTGGCACCTACAACTCACCTCACTGTGTGTTTGGCGTCTGTTGTCGCTGTCGTCGACTGCAAGGCAAGAGTTTGTTATATGGTTAAAATCAATAATGTTTATCAATTTGTGCAATATATTTACATCTGGAATTTGCCTTTATTTTGGTACGCGACGCCGGCGGCTGGCAAGGAAAACGCTGCTGATGTCGGCAGCTCGTTGAAAAGAGAGAGGGAAACAACAAACAGCTGGCTGTTTAGCACGCACACACACAGTGCTGCATTTTGGGCAAACAAGCGCCGCCTGCGGCTACAAAGCAAACCAGTCAGCTTTTTGTCAGCCATTCTATACTCTTGGTACGCATTGTAACGCATAGATGGCGCCAGTGTACCCTTGTAGACAGAAGGCGGCAGTGAAAGCGAGCATTTGAGGCACAGGCAGCAGCAGCAACAACAATAACAACAACAATAGGGTTCAATCAGGGAAGCCAGGATCATTATCATCCAACTGTCAAGGTCACGTTGCCGCCGCACGTACACGCAATTTGGCGGTTTAGTGAAAAGCCCGCAATAATCAATAATTTCACATAATTAGCACCGCCGCTTTCTGGCCAGTTTCGTTGGCCGGGCTCATTGGCTTTATTGCTGCTTGAAACGCAAGTCGAAGCCAACGTTAAGCTGCCCAGATTCCAGCCTCCATGTCCGTTCCTTCGATCGATTGATTGAACGATTGATTCCTGCCCGCTGCGTTTATGGCTCTAATTAAAAGCGCCGTTATGCGTGCGCGAAACGTGCGGTTATGCGGCTAAGACAAGGGCCAGCTAGAAAATTTGTTTATAATTTCACGCTCACTAGCCCACACAAACACATGCACACAGACACACACAGGCACACACACAGGCACGTATACTTTCATATGTATTTATCGTTTGTCTCTTTGCGGTCAGGCGCACGTTTAAAAGTCAATTTGTATTGCCTGTTTCGGAAACCGCAGAGCAATTTCAAGGACAAGCGACAACTGTTTAAATGCACTTGGGTCTTGCCACTTGACCTGAGAGCCTCGACCGGCTCTGCTGTTTCTTTTAAGCCATGAAAATATGTGCTCAAGACCGCAAAACGTTTTCTCACAAGTTTTTGTTTCGGGCCACTGAAAAAGATGGAAAAAAGGAAAAAGAAAAAAAGCTACAAAAAAATTACGAACACCTTCTGGGTTATCTCTTGTTATCCTAAAGCTGAACCTCGCATTTTTAAAATATCGTCAAAGAAGAATACAATTTTGGAGCATCGTTTATGGACAATCGATTGAAAACATAATCTTTGTTGTCTTCGAAGATTAACTCTAATTTCAGGCCGATGGTTTATTTGTTAAAGACTATTGATGTGTATACCTGATGAATAAAATTGCAATTTAAATCATGTGCTAGAATATGAATGAAGTGCAGGGCATTGCACTAAGAGTTCAAGCTTGCTGGTTGACTGAAGGACTTGGTTATAGACTAACACAAAATTGGTCCTACTATATGAGTGCTAGTCCTGGCATATCACAAACCAAATGGGGAATGTGCGAAATCTGCAAAGTAGAGTACAACCTTCCTCTTACTAAAATGATCTAAAAGTTTTGTTTTCAAATTTGTTGTATACTCAGACTTCTTACAAATTATTCAAAATCGTAGAGTCTACAGTATAGAGTCACATAATGCTCGCAAATGAAGTCTGAATACTGAGGTCCCACTTAGAGATTGTACGGAAATGTTTCACACTTGACTCTAGTTGGAGATTACAATTATGCGGGCTTGTAGAGCAATTATAGTTTTAGTTTGATATTTACACAAAAATTTTCAAATTCGGCCTTTGGTGATCTCCACAAGTGTCTGACTTCATTAAGACAGAGTGTATTTATCTGTAGGTCCTTAACAGTGAGGACAGCACGAAACTGTGCAGCTATTGAGGATCAACAATACAGCTAAGCTCGGCTGTCTTTCGCATGGTTTTAAATCACTTTTGAGTCAATCATTAATTAATATTAGGTTCAAGTACCAATTAATAATGTTACGGCAAAGTCATATAATTATCGCTCCTGATCTTGTTTACGTGAAGACTGTCACAAAGGTATTGTCAAAATACTTAAGCCGTAGCTGAATATTTCGGTGTCTAATCGCTAATTTCTTTATTGTAGAAAGGAGGTGTGAAGAGTGATAGACAAAATATTTCAAGTGCATATTACTTGTATTGTTGTTGTTGTTATTATGCAGCTGATAGCAATAAACGACGCTCCAATTTTCCATAATAACTGTGCAATATTAAAGGCGAGTAATTGTGGCAGCGCTTGTCAGGCAAATTACTTATAAATTATAAAAAGATAAACAAATTTGAAAAAGAACCAAATAACAAATAGCTCATAATACAAATAGTTCGAAATTTCAATTGATTTCGATGTCATTTCCAAAGACGAACACTTCTTTTTCTTTGAAGAACGCAGACTTAAAACGTACGCCTATGGCTCATCTACTCGTAGTATTTTATTTTGTTCCAACCCCACTTGATTTCTTTTTTCGAAAACTATAAAATATATAATACTTCGAAATTTCGCTCTGATCTGTGTGCTTCCTTTCCCGCACCTGCCCAGCAAATAGCTGCAAGTTCGTCGCCTAAGTCTTTTGTTTTTGGCAGCTGCACGAAAAACAAACACACACAAAATTTTCTTCAATTAGCCGACACGAATTGCTGCGCGGCAACAATTTAAATAATAATAACAACAACAACAAGGCATGCGCTCCAACATTATAATTAAAGGCAATAAAATATGAAAATTTGAATTGTTTGCCTCTTGTTATAATTTTGTTGCTGTTGTTTTATTTCTTTTAATTCGTGTTTTGCATTTCATAGCATTTTCATTAATTGGCGCAACAAGCTGGAAAAGCTGAAAGCCACAACCATATGTAAGCCAATTCAATGAAACTTCATGTTCATGCATTCACCTGCCCTCCATCCTCAGCCGCGCCCCCTCTTCCGCCCCCCGCTCCACTGCCACTCTTCCTCGCCGGCCACGCCCCACAAGCTAGCTGCGTAATACGCCCTGCACCACGCATGCATAAAATACACATAAATTTTCATAATTCAGATATGAAAATATGAAAATTTCGTATTTAATTAGAGGTTGGCTGCTCGCAAGTCCCAACAACAACAACAACAACAGCTGCACATTTTGTTAAAGATGGCGTGGGTGCGTGGCTGCCCATTGGAGGGCGCTCTCAGGCTCGTTGCTAATTTGGTGAATTAAAATGGAACCACAACAACAACAACAACAACAGCAGCAATGGCATTAACAATTGGAATGAAGAAAAACACAAATTTATGGCACCATTTTCCTCGGCCTGCCAACGACAACAATGCGGGCGGGCCAAAGGTGGAGCGCAACTGGAACTCGAAACTCAAGACCCAAGACTCGACACTCGCCAATGCCACAAAACTGACCCGCCATGGGGATAATTAAGTGTAATAAAAGGCAATTAAGTGCGATAATTAACAAACAATATGCACTCAGCAATGCACATACACAGGCATTAACGTATGCCCGTATGTATATATACATACAAATATATATGTATATAGTATACGTATGTATGGATATAGCACTTAGATATATGCACGAGGGGTTTTGCTAGAGTATGGCTAGTTGGCTCATTTGAATAAAAGCTTCTTGGAAACGCGATAAAAAAAAGAGCTACTAATCGAAGCCATGCACGTACTTATATTTATTCTGCATATGCTTCGTCTATAACAAATTCAAGCTACTACCAACGACACCAAAAATTATATTGCAGCATTATAATTACAAATGAAATTATAAATCTTTCGTTCTGTAAGAAATGTTTCAATCTGCAATCAATTAAAGCAACGAGCACAGTCAATTTATTGGGTTACTTAATCATTGAACAGATACAAGCATTTTATTCTGCGAATACTAAATACTCTATAACAAAACAAAGACGCAATAATATGCACACAAAAGCTAATGTTTCTGAAAGAGTTATACGATTATATGAACATACTTGTATAGCGTGACATCCAAGAGCCAATCAGCAAATAAGAATCCAATACTTAAGAGAACCAATCGGCTGTTATACATTCAAATTGCAATTAAGCCTTGAAGTTATTGAATTTTTAATTTCTTCAGAAAAGTGAAAGAAAAGTGTGCATTAAAAAAACTAATATACCCTTGTACCCTTTGGGTACAGGGTATAAAAATATAAGCAATGCCACCTATTAGCAACACTATCCTGTTTCCGAGCAATAAAGTTCAGTAAAACGAAACTATCGATCAGTTTCTGACCATATCGCAATACAATTGTTACAGTTGGTAAGAAAAAAGCTTCAAAACGATAGACGCACTTCACAGTAGCACAAAATACTGAATTCACTAATGCAGAATAACTTACAATTTTTGACAATACTGTAGTCAATAATTTTCTAAATTTCAACCAAAAAAGTTCAGGCTAATACGTAATGCCATTTTTGGTGAAAACTGTTTGAAAAAAAATGAAATCAATCGAAAGCAATGTTTAAAACATTGTTTAAACAAAAACAAATCGATTTATAAGTATAAGTAAGGAATTAAGTATTGGTAAATAATTCAAATATCAATATTTTCAGTAGTCCTTGAAATAAATTTGTAATATTATAAATATTATTATTAAAGTGTTATTAAATATTTCCGTTGCAATCCAATTACAAATACTTAAAATAACGTGCAAGAATATCAGAGAGTTTTAGTTTTAATTTAAAATGTTCATCGTATATCAATGGTCAATAGATAAAATATGCTATAAATAAAATGTAAAGCTTTTGAAATATATCATAATTGGGGACTATTAAGTCGTTTTTCTTTTTAACAATACTTCAATGTACAATTCACTTCAAGCCACTTTTTTTCACATGTATTTTGAATTCTTTAATTGAATCTTTGTTTGCAGTTAGTCCCTTAGGTTTTTAGATCCTTTTCCGCTACAAGCATATGGTGGTTCTTATCAATTTTCGTAGACTCATAATCTCCACCTTTCGTATTTCATATCCTTGAGATCATTTATGCATTTTCCTCCATTGAACGGACTGCCAAGTCAGAGTTGGCCCTAACAGCCTTGCTATCGATGTGAAAGACTTATACTTTTCTTTGTCCTTGCGTGGTTGTGGCTCAGAAGCCTGAAGGAGATTAGTGACGTACCCCTCTT